AAAAAAAAAAACAACAACAACCAAACATACAAACCAAAAAAACGGCATGTGTGTTTTGTGTGCTGAAGTTCTGCGCGGCCTCGTGCCTCTCCCTGAGGGGGGCGGCTGCACATACCACGTCTTGTTACTTCTTCGTCCCTCTTCCTCCTCCTCCTCCTCAATCTCGTGTACATGGGGTGAATGGATCGGAAAGGAGCAACCGTGACACGTCATTGCCACGCACTCAAACAGGCATAACTACAAGAGAACAAGCATCAGCAGCGCGAAGGGTTAAGCGACGTACAAGCCATCAAGCAAACTAAAAAAGAAAAGTGAAGGAAGGGAGCAACAAGACAAGGAACATCCTCCAAATAAAACAAAAAAAGGTAGGATACAGCAGACAAAGTGCACAGAGAAGAAGAAGAACTAACCCAGCCCTTTAGAAAGGTCGGAAACCAAAGAATTAGAGAGGAAAAGGACACATCAGGAGGACAACAAGGTCAGACAAAGGTGCTCTAAGGCACACAGCATAGCATTCACCTGAAAAGGCCATCTCTTGATTTCTCACACCGTCCAGTCTTTTTCTCTATCTTTAATAAGTACCGATATCAATAAGAACTGGAAACTGTTTGGAATCTTTGTCATGCAAAACGAACACATTGGAGTTGAAATGCTTAGCAACGTGGAGAACTTCAACCACGCGTCCTTCTTCCCACCACAGCAGGGCGCCACCGATGCCGTCGATGTTGCACATGAGGAAAACATCAAAAACACCGACAAGAGTCCGATAGGATTGCCTACAATGATGGTGGAAAAGCACACAGATTCCCAACTGGCATTAGCGCTCGACTCCTGCATGAGTCCATTTTCACGGTCAGCCAGCAGCAACATAATAGAGCCACAGCTGCGTCAAAGTGGGAAAGAGGGCAGCTACGCCGACGAGAGCCTGTGGATAGGTGAAGCTAATTTGTCCATGACCGCCAGTGGAACCTCTTGGTTGGTCACACCAGCTGACTCATTGCTCTCAGGAGCAGCGAAAGGGAACAACCTTAACCAGGCGACACCGGGAAGCGACGCACCGCGCCTCTCAGCGCGAAACAACGTATATGTCAGCGAACTCCCATTGCACTGGAACACGGACAAGCTGCGCAGCGTCTGTCTCGCCTTTGGCAACATCGTGTCTGCCAAGGTTGTCCACGACAGCGCTACCAACCGGTCGCGTGAGTACGGCTTCGTGATGTTTGAATCCGAGGAGCAGGCAGCGCTATGCGTGCGTTCACTAAACAATTGCCTCATGGACGGCAAGATCCTTACGTGCCGCTTGGCCCATGAGCGCGCCATGCCGTCCTTCGCCAACACGGACCGTGTGGCGTGGAGCACGTCGCCTTCAACTCCATCGCCTGCAATTGGCTTCGCCACGCCGCAGCAGCAGGCGCTAGAGTCCATGCCTCTTCTCAAAATGCGATCCACGGAGGAATCGGCACCGCTTGTGTCACAGCCACTGAAGCCGGCCCTGTCCGTATCCGTGAGCAAGCGCGGGTCGTCAAGTCTGCGACGGAGCCGTAACGTTTTCCTTCAGGGGTTGCCGCTGCACTGGAACACAGACAAACTGCGCAGCTTGTGCGGCACATTTGGCAAAGTGGAGCTGGCTAAGGTGGTGCGTGACGCCACAACNACTGGAACACAGACAAACTGCGCAGCTTGTGCGGCACATTTGGCAAAGTGGAGCTGGCTAAGGTGGTGCGTGACGCCACAACGAGCCTGTCATGTGGCCACGGTTTTGTGTTGTTTGAGAACGAGCAGCAAGCGACGGCGTGTGTCGATGCGTTAAATGGGTTTGTGACGGAGGGGCGTGCGCTCACATGCCGTCTGGCACCCGAGAGGCGCAGTCCCACATTGTCCACCGTCTCGACGAGTGACTTCACCACATCACCGGTGCCCCAGCCGTTAAACCCTTCAGGGCGAACGTCTGTTGCAACAGAGCCGCTCCTCAGGTCCACAGCGAATGTGTTGTCTCCGCAGGGGATTGTGGATACGGTGGGTGTGCCTCATCCCCAGTTTGTGCCCACAGCAGCCTACGGCAAGTGGTCCACGGTTGGTGTGGCCCCTACCTGCTCAGCGTCTGGCGTACAGCATTTATCACCCCACGCCGCGGTGCTCTCATCACCTGGCCCCTCTTTCCTTGGTCACACCGGAGTGACCGCACAGCAGCTCCAACAGCCGCAGCCGCAGCAACAGGGAATTGTCTCATCATCCTTACCTGCAGGTACACCAGTGATGACGACGGTAGCGGCGGCGACCGTACCAGGCATACCAATGCAGCAGCAGCAGCAG